CCAGAGTTGGTATATTGTTGTTAATATGATGACCCGTACTTCTTATACGAAATGGCTGGAACAATAATTGCTATAGTAGCACATCCGTAGACAGAATGCAGGCATTGCATTCTCTATAGACCCTCTCTATAAATTAGGGTTAACTCTAATGTGAAATTCGGTGCAATTTCGTTCGCGGTTAGAAACGATTTCTGACTGATTCAATCTCGCGAGATCTCGCGGCAACGTCTGTCTGTCTACACGCGACGCTGTGTTGAGCGGCTGTGCAATGCCGTGTAGTACTTACGTCCGACGTTGAGGGAGAATTTGGCGCTGTTGTCGCCAGACTTGTTCGTCACGGTCAGGGTGTAAGCACCGGCGTCCTCCTTCTTGGGCGTCTGCGAAAGAGAGAGAGAGAGAGAGTGTGTGAAATAAATCTCCAGGATCAAGATCAACCCTTCAACAGGGTTCCTTGATAACTGCCCTATCCGCCCAAGCAAGATAACCACGCTCATTTTAAATATTGCTGCTATAGCATGGTCAGGCTGACCTGGGCTGTATGTGTTTTTCACGCGTGTACGCTTGTACGTGTTTTCCGCCCGTGGAAGGGCTTCAGGGAGTCCGTAGTTGCACCTTAAGTCATCCTTAGTCCGTAAAAACCTTGTCTGCATTTTCTGGGGAAGGGTTCGTAGCTTTCACCAGATTCTCAAAGGGGTACATGACTCGGAAATGGTTAAGAACCACTACTCTAGAGTAACTTTACTGTGTCGTCGTTCAAAGGCGCAGTCCACGACTGTCGTGAATCGTGTGCGAACGCATGCGAACGTGTTATCATAGCAAACACGAGAGAGAAGCGAAGGCAGCAGCAGCCACCGACGGGCTGGGCTCAAGCGGGTGATGTGTGTGGAAACCTGGCAACTATGCGTTCGTCCCACCAGCCTGCATCGTGTAGCGTGCTTAGCGTCTCGGTAATCTTCGAGTTTTTTCTAACAAAAATCTAAGCTCCGACGGAAATCCTGGTTTCCAGCCGCTCCCTCCCCTGAGTATCTTCTCAGATTCTTTCTGGAACAGCGTGCGTGCATGAGCGCATGAGCGCATCCGCGCGTGGTGCATTTATGCGCGTGCATGCGCCCATGTGTGTGTGTGTGTGCGTGTGTGTGTGTGTGTGTGTGTGTGTGTGTGTGTGTGTGTGTGTGTGCGTGCGCGTGCGTGCGTGCGCGTGTGTGCGTGCGCGTGTGTGCGTGCGTGCGTGCGTGCGTGCGTGTGTGCGCGTGTGCGCGCTCATGCGTGTGTGCGTTAGTTGATGTGTCCGTGTCCGTATTTGAGTGCAGTGTGTGCGCGCGGAACTGTGTGTGTGTACGTGCGCGTCCGTGCGCACGTGTGCGTGCGTGCGTGTGTGTCTGTGTGTGAATGTACGTGCGCGTGAGCGTGTGCGCGCCCGAGTGCGTGTCAGTGCGTGCGTGTGCGTGCGTGCGTGCGTGCGCGACCATGCACGTGTGCGCGCGCGTACTTACGGTCACGGCGAGCGAGTACAGTATCGTGCCGTCCTTCTGCTCCTCGGAGCCCATGTGGAAGCGACCTCCATCCTTCACCTCCTTCTTCTCGTGGAACCACGTCGGCTTCCCATGCGGGTCCGACCTGACGATAGCCTCCATGATGATTTTACCGGCTTCGTTACGCATGACGGGGTCCTTGGGGAAGCTTGGCTTCATGATGGCGGCGGGTTAACTATACAAATAGAGAAAGAGGGAGAGGGTTAGTGAGCGCAGAATGTAGAGAGAGAGAGAGGGGTGAGTAATTGCAGAATGTAGAGGTGGAGGGGTGAGTGAGCGCAGAAGACAGAGAGAGAAGGGGAAGGGATAGAGCAGAATGTAGAGGGAGAGAAAGGGGGAGTGAGAGGAAGAGAAGAATGTAGAGGGAGACGTGGTGATTGAGCGCAACAGATGGAGAGGGGGAGTGAGAGCCAAAGATAGGCAGAATGAGATAGTTAGAGGGGGTGAGGATGTAAGAGGCAAGAGAGAGAGGGCGGAGAGAGAGAGAGCGCGCGAGAGAGAGAGAGAGGGAGGGAGAGAGAGTAGAGAGAGGGAGGGAGAGAGAGAGAGAGGGAGGGAGAGTAGAGTGGAGCAGAATAATAGATATGTATATATGTAAATAATAAAAAATGTAAATCTCTCTCTTTCCCTTTATATATATATATATATATATATATATAGAAGAGAGAGAGAGCAGAGAGAGAAAGAGAGAGACGAGAGAGGGGGGGAGAGAGGAGAGAGAGGGGGGGGGGATGCCGACGAGCAAGACGCGAGAGAGCCGAAAGAGCGAGAAAGGGGAAGACTTGGGGCTGGTGTCATGAGGATATTCATAGATAATAATCGCTTCTAAGACGTTCTTGCGTTTTTGCGCGCGCGTGTTTTTAACGCATCGCGCATGCCGGCGCACTTTAACACTGTGAACACCGTGATTCTCGTCGCCTTGACTCTGCTGAGCGATCACGTGGATGTCCGACGCCCATCCCGCGAGGCGAGAGTTTCTCCGTAGACAAGAGAGAATCGACAGTGTGTGTGTGGGTGGGGGGGGGGGTCATCCGCGCAGTTTGTGGGTTGGGAAGAATATCCCCCACGCGGGAGGCGCGTCGACGTAACATTGTAACAGCTCAACAATACATGCCAAGCTGTCTGGCTCGCTTGCTGCGCCTGCCTGCTGCCTGCTCGTGGTGTGGTGGTGGTGGTGGTGCGGGCGGCTGGTGCGCCGCTACTGCTTGCTTGGCTGCTGCTGCTGCTGCTTGGCTGCTGCTGCTTGCTCGCTGCTACTGCTGTCTGCTGCTTCTGCTGCTTGGTGGTGCTGGCTTGCTGCGTGGTGCTGGAGTGGCTAGCTGGTGGTGATGATGCGGCCCTATTACTCTTACTACTACTACTACTACTACTGCTGCTGCTGCAGCTGTTCGTGTTGTTTTGTGAAGTTCGTGGGGTCGGCTTCGGTGCGTCGCGTGTGACTGGTGTTGGTCTGGTGGTGGTGTTGGTGATTGGTTGATAAATGGCGCGTGGCGTGGCCCGGCCAGTGCGGGTGCGGGTAGCGTGCGTGGTTGTTAAGTGGCTTTACTACTGCTGCCGGCGCTCCACTGACTACTACTTACTACTACTAACTACTACTACTCTACTAGCTACTTAACGTACTACTACTACTCAACTTACTACTACTACTACTACTACTACTCTACTGCTGGCTGCCTTTGCTGCTGCGTGCTGCTTGCTGTGCTGGTGGTGGTGGTGCTGCTGCTGCTGCTGCTGCTGTTTACTGCTTGCTCTACACTGCTGTTACTGACTGCTCGCGTGGCTGCTGCTTTACTTACTGCTGCCTGTGCGGCTGCTGCTGGTGCCATCAATATATCATGTTAACTCTAGCATCGCTAACTTTAGAATCGACGTGCCGAGCGTGCGCGCGTCTGTCTGTTTGTTTTTTGTTTTATTCTCGTCGTATCGCGTTGTAATGCGTGGGGAGCGGCGAGCCTCATCATGATGCTAACTTAAACCACACGTCACCGGGGGCAGTTACACCGCAGGCAGTTACACACAGCAGCTTACACAGCAGCATTACAACAGCAAGCATGTTAGCACACAGCAGTTACCACCACAGCAGTTACACACAGCAGTTTACAGCACGAGCCGCAGTTACAGTAATTATGCACAACACGGAGGCAGTTACACCCAGCAGTTACACACAGTAGTTACGTTACAGTAATTAAGTACAACATGGAGGCAGTTACACACAGCAGTTATGTTACGCTTGAGTGGTCGCATGGACCAGTTTACAGGAGGTCCGCACCGATCTGCCTGTCGCACCTTTGCGATTCGCGCTGAAACTCCGAGGAACGTATGAAGTATGTACGCTTTCTTTAAATGTCCCATCGTTGACAACTTTTTCTCTAAGTTCACAAGGAAGATAAACCACTCGTTTTATTGTGGGAATCAATTAAGAAGATGCGAAATACATAATTTTTAATGTGTGGTGTCACTTGAATCTGTGCATGCCGAAGATCAACGATGATCTTCTCCATATCTGCTCTGCTCCTTGCGTCTCTCAGCTCTCTCTCTCACCTCTCTTCTCTGCACTCTCTCTGTCTTCGAAGTCTCTCTCTCTTTCCTCTCCCTCTCCTCTCTCTACTCTCTCTCTTCTCTCTCTCCACGCTAAACCGGCGTCTTTTTCTGGTATGGCATCCCCTGACTAGGGCTTCTCCCTTCTATACACCGTATCCGACCTTAGAGGCTTGAGCTCGCTACGCATGAATAAGATGACAAATCCAGCCTACTGCACTGCAGACCTGCTTGCAGACGCTGGTAAATGCAAACGGCCTGAAGACTAAAATAAATTGACGCAAGCAAAAACATAGGAGTTCGCGGGCAAAACAATATGCTGAAGCGCAAATCAATGACTTTGTGGAAACGCCCGACAAGCTTCTTACGTTGTTTAGAAGAACCTCTTAGGAACTCCGTCCTCTCTCTCTCTTCCGGTCATCATCTCGTCCGTGGTCTCTCTCTCTCTCTCTCTTTCGTCGTCTCTCTCTTCTCTCTCTCTCTCCTCGTCTCTCCCTCCGTGTCTCTCGCTTCCCTGTTTTTTGTTCTCTCCTCTCTCGTTTTGCTCGTCTCTGCTCTCTGTGTCTCTCCTCTGTGTGTGTCTCTCTCTCTGTGTCTCTCTCTCTATGTCGGTCTCGTCTATCTCTGCTCTCTCTTCTCTCTTTTCTTGTATGTTCCCTTTTTATCTCTCTGCCGTTATCCTTTTTCTCGTTCTAATCTCTCTCTCGGTCTCTCTCTCTCTCTAGTCCTCTCTGCTCTCGTCTCTCTGCTCGATCTCTCTCTGTCTCTCATCTGTTCTCTCTCTCTTCTCTCTCTTTCTCTCTGTCTCTCTTCTCTCCTTTTCTCTCTCTTTTCACTCTCA